CCTCAACTCTATTATTTTCCTTAATTCTTATTTTCCATCTCCTAAATATTTGATCATCTTATTTCCCTACCTTAAATCATTCTTGATTATTCCCCAAGAAAAGCCATTTACCATTTAATATTTCATGACTACATACTTACTTTATTTCTTCATTACTTAATTACCATAACCTAGACTTTCCATAACTATTTAGCTCTCTTCTCCAAGTAATTTCCTTAAACCAATTTACCATAATTCTTCCTACATTCTCCTACCATAATTCTTGAATGATATAGCCTATATACCCTCTCATACCTCTCATATTCTTCACACCAAAAACTCAATTCTCTTCTTCTCTCTTACTCTTCTATTCCCTCAACCTTTTCCTACTTTTCTTCTCGTCTTTTCTAAAAGAAAATCAGCCCATATATCTTTGGAGCCAATTTTCGGGCACTTTTGGTCAGTTTTGGGGTTTTTCTATTTCGTAAAGAATTGTTCCTCTCAAAATATCTTTGAGGTTAGGCTCAAGAATCATCCAATTCGGAGTTATATTGAAGGAGTTATGGCCTCTACAAGTTCTGCATATTCTTTTCAACGCAAATCCAATTCTCTTTAATCCTATTCCTTTATTTTCTTCATGGTTAGTTTTCTAAAATATAAATACCTATTTCAAAGCTATAATTTTATATTAAAGCATTATTTTTAAAAAAGTTTTATAGTCCATGTACATTAGATTTGGGTTTATGTCTAAAGATGTTGTGATAACCTTATGGTTATGTTAATTGCAAGGTGTATTCGTGATTGAACTATAAAGTGCGAAGTGTTGATTGATATTCAGAATCAAAGTACGTTTAGGTGGCTAGGTACCTTTGAATAACATGTTTTATATGATTTTATTGGTGATTGAATTAAATTTATTTGGATTATGATTTATGAAATAAAGTATGTTTGGAGGTATTGATTTTAATATTTGTTTAATAAATGTATTTTTGAAGGATTGATTTTCATATCATGTTTTGTACGGTTTGAATTACTTATAATGTTTGAATAAAGAAATTGATTTGAAAAGTTTGATAATTAAATAAAAGGTTTTTTCAAAGGAAGAGTTATTGATTTTGAAAAGTTATTTATATGAGATTTAATTCTCAAGTTTTTATTAAAAGGTTGATTTTGAAAGCATGTTGAATTAAATAAAAAGGAGTTTTGACTTAACCTATTATAAAGGTTGATTTTTATTCATTTTATGAGGATTTATTTATTAAAAAGCTTTACAAGCATGATTATTATATTAATCCCACTAAGCGGATTCATTGAAGGCTATGGACTTTGTATGACCTAGTCTTTCTCCAAGAATAGCCTTGAAATAGGAGGAGACTAGCTTGGGGGTGTGCACACTTAGAGAGGAGATTGAGTTTTCGAAAATAATTGATTTTATTAATCATTATTATTGAGTTATTGGAATTATTTAGAGAATATTTGAGAATTGGTATTCAAAAGAGGAATTGGTTTTATAAATCGTTTCATCGAATTATTGAGAATTGATTTGAATCATGAGTTTTGGAATTCATTAGATTAATTATTGGAATTGGTTTTAAAAGCATGTTTGCAAATAAATTGAATTTACTTATCTTGCACTTATCGTACTTAGCATATTTTGCTAATATGTATTTCTTATTTGTTTTGGTTCGCCTTATTTACCGTAATGGTAAGCAGTGTTGACTAATTTCAGGTGGAGTCAAGAATTGAGCATATGGGAGTCCCGGGAATGTTCTTCACCTAGAATTAGGATTGTTGGTCTTTGTCTAATTATGAGTATTTATGACGATGGTTTCTATTTATAGTTATTATTAATAAAGAAAGAGTTTGAGTTACAGTTGCAAAGTTTTGGTTTTGGTTAGTAGTTTGAGTAGCCTTGCATAATTACGCGGCGGTAATGCGCCTAAATCTATCTCTAAGGTATAATTATACGTATTATACTAGTATTTTCGTAGAGGGAGATTTGGAGGTGTTACAGTACGGTTGTACGAAGGTGGAGAAAATAAAATAGTAGCCATTAAAAATTCGGATGGGCAGTGGGTTTAAAACAGGGAACAACTGAAGAGTTTGGTGGTTGAATATTTCACCAATCTTTTTACAGATGAGGAAGATGTTGTAGGTGAATGGAATATTCCTTCAGGGGTGTGTGCTTCCCTTTCGAATGAAGAATGGATGAAGCTGACTAGGCCGTACACAAAGAGTGATCGATGTTGACTTGGTAATTAATAGCATGGGTTCTCTCAAAGCCCCAGGACCGGATGGGTTTCAAGCAATTTTTACCAAAAAATTGGCAGGAGGTTGCTCCAAATGTGTACACTATGGTTTTGGCTGCCCTTGAGGGAAAGGGACTTCCAGAGTCTATCAATGAAACCTTCTTGGTGCTCCTTCAAAAAATCGATAATCCAGAATTGCCCTCACAATTTAGGCCGATTGGTCTATGTAACGTGGCTTATAAAATAATAACAAAAGCCATTGTTAACCGAATCAAGCCACTGCTCACAAAATTAATAGCCCAAGCTCAATCAAGCTTTGATCCCGGTAGACAAATTATCGACAATATCGTGATTGTGCAAGAAGTTATCTACACCATGAAGCACAAAAGTGGTAAAAGGGGGTTCATGACTATTAAAATTGATTTTGCGAAAGCCTACGATAGGCTCAAATGGTATTTTATCAGAGATACTCTTGTGGAAATGATTTTTTCGATTCTCGTGATTGAAGTTATTATGGAGTGCGTTACGTCCCCTTCTAGGCGTGTGTTGTGGAATGGTGAGAAGACAGATGAATTTTTCCCTTCAAGAGGAATAAGGCAAGAAGATCCTCTCTCTCCTTACCTCTTTGTCTTGTGTATGGAGCGCTTAAACCAAGTCATTGAAGAAGCAATCATAGCGGGAAATTGGAAACCCATTCATGCTAGCAGGGGTGGTCCGTTGTTATCCAACCTTTTTTTGGCGGACGATCTTATACTCTTTGTTGAAGCTACACTTGAACAAGCAGGTGTAATTAAAGATTATCTCGATAGATTTTGTGCGGCATCCGGTTAGAAGGTTAGCTGTCAAAAATCGAGAATTTATTTTTCTCGCAATGTCTCTTTGGAAGAACAACAACCTATATGCTCAGCTCTTGGTATCGACGCGACTGAAGATTTGGGCATGTACCTTGGAATGTCTACTTTATCGAGCAAAGTTACTAGGGAGACATATGCCCACCTCTGCGAGAAGATAGATAGAAGATTAACCGTGTGGAAAACCAAATATTTGTCCCTAGCAGGTCGCATTACTCTCACCAAGACAACTCTAACTTCGATGGCAAATTATTTGATGCAAACGACAAAGATCCCGTGCTCTATTTGTGATGATATAGATTGTAAGGCAAGGAGATTTGTTTGGGGTGGTTCGGATGAAAAGAAGAAAATTCACCTCATTTCTTGGAATACTCTTCAATTACCAAGAAATAAAGGGGGGCTGAATCTTCGTTCTGCAAGGCAAGTAAACTCGACTTTTTTAACCAAGCTGGCTTGCGTATGCTCACATAACCAAACTCATTGTGGTCTCGTGTTCTTCGCTACAAGTTTTGTAAAGGCCGATGTGACATCGACATGTTTACTCCCACCTCTAACATGTCTAATGTGTGGAGGGGTATAACAGATAATGTAAATTGGCTTAAAGAGGGATTAGTTGTGGCTGTTGGAAATGGTCAGAACACTCTTTCTTGGGATCACTGTTGGGCATCTGATGTTCCATTGAGGGAAGCAGCCATCACCACAATCTCGAGCAATATTGAAGGGGCTACAGTGGAGGAAATGTGGAGTGTTGGGGTTGGTTGGAAGTGGGAGGAATTTGCTCATATTCTTCCTGATCACAGCCTGAAACTAATTGCTGCACATAATCTTGTTGAAGATTCGGATGTTGAGGATCTAAGGTACTGGAAAGGCTCGAAAAAAGGTGGTTTTTCAATCAAGTATGCCCTACACATCATGAAGGACACTAAAGACATCCCTCTGATCCTAAATGGGATTTAGCTTGGAGCACTCATGTACAGCAAAGAGTGAAGACCTTCCTCTGGCTTGCTTTTCATGACAGAATTCTTTGCAACTCGAATAGGCTGAAAAGGCAGCTCAGAGATGATCCTAGATGCACTAGATGTAATCAGAATGCTGAAGAAAATTTGCTCCACCTTCTTCGTGATTCCCCCAAATCTCAAAAAATTTGGAATAGCCTAGGAGGATTAGCTCTCTATACTTCGTTCTGGAATGGTGATCTGCAGGCTTGGTTGGTCAGAAATTTAAAGGCTGATGGCTTGATTTTCTCAGAAAAATGGCCTACTGCCTTTGCTACTACCCTCTGGTGGATATGGAAGTGGCGAAACAATGAAATTTTTTAGCGTAGTGATGCTTTCATTATGGATACAGGGGACTTTCTACGAGCTCGTGTTGATGAAGTTTGGAATGCTATGATAAGGAATTATGCTCAGAGTGCTGGAACTACTAATGTGAAAAGAGAGGTCCTAATTCGCTGGTTAGCTCCTCCCACCTATTGGTTTGCACTCAATTCTGTTGGGGCAACAAAAGGAAGCCCTGGTTTAGCAGGTGGGGGAGGCATCCTTCTTAATGCTCATGGCAGACATATTCGAAGTTTTGCTGCTAATTTTGGGGTTTGTATTGCCTATAGAGCAGAGCTATTAGCAGCAGAACGAGGACTTAGGATGGTTGTAGCTTATGGAATCAGGAAGCTCGAGATGCAGATGGACAATAAGGCATGTATTGAAGCATTTCAGAATCTAGATCATCATGGTGGTGAATGCGTGCATATCCTTAGTAGCTGTCGTAGTTTAATTAATTCCTTTGGCTGTAATTTTCGTCTTGTTCACTGGTATAGGGAGAGAAATAAGGTAATAGTCCGTCTTGCTAATTTAGGAGTAGGTCTTAGCGAGGGGATTGTTAATTTCGATGCACCTCCAATCGAAATAAAGAGTCCGCTAGAGGAGGATGTTAGAGGAGTTACTACTTCTCGTTTTATTGCTTAGTTTTGTTTCTTTCTTGTAGGGCTTCGCCCACTTATACATCCAAAAAAAAAAAATAGAAGACTAGTACTTCGTATTGAATACAAATTACTATTTCATTCCTTCTTACTTCTTAGAGATGGCTCAGAGCTCCTCTATCTCTCTACTCTGTTCTTCAAATCCTCTCTCCTCACCACCTAAATCCTCGTACTCTGCCCGATTTTTAAACCCCTCTTCTACTTTTTCTCGTATTCCATGTCAATGGCGCCTCATTAGTCTTCAACCAACTCATGGGCTTAAAGTTTCTTCCTTACAAAGCACTGGTACTTCCAATTTCCTGTAGTAATTTTGCATTAGTTATCTCTTTTAATCGCTTGGTTTGTTTATATTTCTGGGTTTTTTTTTGTGTTTGTTGAATTACATGCTAATTTGATTTGAAATTTTGAATATAACTGATGTATTTACTGGTGGGTTTCTAGTAATTTTTCTGTAACATGAAATGTTAGGGTTATCTTGATTTATTCATGTTTCTGGGTTTTTTGTTTGTTGAATTTCATGCTAGTTTGATTTGAAAATTTGAATTTACTGGTGAGTTTCTTATAATTATTGTGTATAATTGTGGAAGAATTGAAAATTTTTTGTGTTATTTTGGTTCGTGGCAATAAGTTAATTGGAAAAATATGAAAGTTTGTGTTTATTTATTATAGCTCAATGCCTCACCTGAATCATATCATTTTTTGCTTTCTTTCTAGGTTTAAATTACTAATCAAAATTAGAATTTATGGTTACTTATTCCCCAATCATCAGATTTGTAGTTGTATTGTTTCTGTAATCCGCTTTTGTAAATAAAAAAAAAATGTTATACAGACTCTTTTAGTATTGTAAGAACTGTTAGGCATGGTTGTCCAAGTGTAAGACAGGGCAGTCTTATGAAATTTTTGCATGATTTTGGTTCAGAACGAACAATGAAGTGTCAAAGTGTCATATCCATGTCCGTGTGTGGAGTATCTGATACACTGGTACTTGGAGTGAATTGAAGAGTTGGAGTAACATAGGTTGTCTGTTCTCAGTTTGTCACGAACCTGACGATAATGAATGATTAACATTTATATGTTAACTCATGATAGATATTAGTATCTCGTATAATTACATTCAAGTTAAGCCATTTCTTCCTTGATTAGCTTAAAAGACCAGAACATCCCCTTTAGATGATAATACATCTGCTTACATCATGGAGGCATTTTTGTTATAAAGAACTGCTATTTCCAAAATAATGTACCATGTATTATGACACTCAACCATGTATTATCCTTTTTCTCAGCTCTTTCTTCCGCTTCAGCTGCTGAAGAGATAATAGAGGAAAACAATGGAGATTTAGACTTTGTTGAGATTGGCTATGTATCTAATGTACATGGGCTTGACGGAGAGATTCGTGTAAAGCATAACACTGATTTTCCTGACTTGCGCTTTGGAACGGTATGTACAATCCTGATAGCCAGAATTTCAGCAACTTCATTTTCTCTAGTGTTTCAGTAACATAAGTATTACATTCTTCTTAGCCGGGAAAAAGATGGTTGCGACAACAGTATTCTGGAAGAGATGAAATTGTTGAAGTTGAGATCGAGGAAGGAAGAGGCCATCATGGAAGTAAGAGTTGGATAGTTAAATTGAGCGGCTTTGACAGTGTAGATCAGGTTTTTATAATTTTTCTGTCTCACAAACTTCATTAAAAGCATCATCTCCTGTCATATTGTTATAGAGAATTCTTTCTATAAATCTGGGAATTAAAAACCACTACTAAAAAGAATTCGTTCTATGGGCGGGAGTGTTGTGACTAGCCAATTTAACTATCTAGATACAAGTATCATGAGGGACAGGTTGATGAGTCTAATATGAATATCCATTTCCGCCTGTGTAAGGTAAAGGAAGAGGGAGGAAAAGAAAAACAGTAATTCTACCAGTGTTACTCTTTTGTAAATTTATCTTGTGAGAAATATATGAATCTGTTATTTTCTAAATGTACTGAATATGGCTATGCAGGTGAATGATTAAGATGTCGTATTGTTGATGGTGTGATGTAGAACATCTCCAATTAAAATTGTAAATTAAGTTGTATCAAATTTTCTCAACATAACCAAGTATATTAGGGATATTTATAGCCTGAACTGTTGTTGGAATAAAAATAATTGGAAATTTAACATCCTAATATAACTCTCATAACATTATCCTTATCATAAAAAGCTAATATTTAACTTCATAGGATTAGTAAAACCCTTAAGAATTTTATGTTATTTAGGTGCTCACGTCAAGCATGAGTTAGCTTTCTTGAAACATTTCGATGATTTTTCTTCAAGACTAAGATCCAATATGGCTGCTAGAGGTGGATTGGTTGCATAGTAGAAATCTAGACGAAATTAAGTAATAGACCTTGTATTGCATATAAAACACATTCTCTTAAACTAAAGTTATATCTTCCCCTCTCTCTCTCTCACACAAATTTTTATAATACATAGAGGTTTCAATGAATAATGAGAGTAGATTTGTTAATAGGACATTCCTAGGAAAATTTAGCGATAATTGTGGAATATTTGCCTAAATACTCATATAGGTAAGCTTCAAGGTAAGATATGTAAATACATCATGATAAGGGAACAAGTAAAAATATAATAAAAAAAATATAGAGGTACTAATTTATCCCAAATTTCTTGTTCTTTCCCTTGCTATGATACTATCCACATCATTCTCCATATTTTGAAAAAACTAGGCCATGAGTTTTAAAGAGACAAATTATTAGTGATCTTGCATCTATGAACTAATGTAAGCAAAGGCAACACAAAGCCTTGGGCTGAGATGTATCCATTAAAAAGGTGGGAAGAGAAAATCTGGGGACGATCTCTGTGGTTATTAGGTGTGAAGCTCTTAGTAAGGGTTTTCTTGAACATCACTAATTGTTCAAAGGTTCCATTCTGTAACTCCATTTCAGGTTCACCAAACTTTCTTAAGTCAGTTGCTTGTTGTGCGGCCTGTACCCTTGTAATTTGAATGCAGATGCTTATAATTTTTGTTCTTTGCTCATCTATACAGCAACAGAAACAGGTGAACATATGGAAATCCTCTCCCCCCCCCCCGGCGCGCACACACACACACACACAAACACAAACACACAACCATGGATATCTTAGATAATTTCATGCATTTCGTAGGGTGTAAAATTCATTTTAGTTTGAAGTATTATGTAAGCTTCTGAATAAGAGTAAAAATATTGTTAAATCTGCAGCATCAGTGGCAGCAATATTGATTTTGGTGGTGTTTTGGATGGGTTTGACAGAAGCTCAGATAATCTGGTGGTTTTTGAGTTTTGATTGATGACAGTAAGAAATTGATTGAAAGGAAAAAAAAGTCACTAATACTTATAACACAAACTGTTATGTACTAGTAAACAAAGATGATTAGAAATCATAAGCACCCAAAATAGTGTCTCAATGTGGCTCATAAACCTCTCTAATTACCTAGGGAGAATATTCCCAATTACAATACTGAATTCAATCAATTCTAAAATATATCAAAATTAAAAGAGTATGGGGTATATCCTTACTCCTTAGCCATAACACTAATTGGACAATCTATTCATAACTTTAATAGTTTTTTAATCATAATAAACTAAAATTCTGATATTTTGCTAACCTAATAAACTACTCTTAAAATTACGTACATAAATATTCCCAATAATATATTCTATACATTTGTACTTATCCAGATATATAAATATATATATATATATATATATATATATATATATATATATATATATACTTCTTCCTTATCTGGCCATCTGCATTGCATTGTTAATGCAGGGAAAAACTGTTCTTCATTACCTAACTGTAAAGGTGTTGGCTTAGCATGCTCTTTTATAGTGGATTTCAGGGTGGTTAACTATTTGAGAGAAGGAATTATATTCTGTAAACTGTAAAGGGTGGTGTTACTCAATTATTTCAATTCTTCTCTTCTGATCTTCATTATCTTCATTTCCATTATCTTATTTAAGATTTTTCTTAACACTATATTTATATCAGGCTCGACAGCTTGTGGGGGCAACTTTTCTTGTCAGGAATATTGATAGGCCAGAGCTCAAAGAGGGCGAGTATTATAGTCGTGATCTTATTGGCATGAGGGTTGTTCTTAAGGTTTGAGTCTTCTAATGCTTTCATATGATGTAGCATTTTATGAAAATATATGCATCTTGCCACAAACCTGAAAGAGTTTTGTTAAATATTTTTATAGACATCCACCTTTACTTCTTACTTGTGCTATGGACATTTCTGCAATGAATTTGGATAACAATTATCATGTCATTCTATGCAATAAAGGTGTTTTGAGTGTATCTCTAGTCCAAGGCCATTAAGTAAAATCTTCAGGAATTGGTGATTTCTTTCTCTTTCTAGGAGACAGGTGAATCAGTGGGAACTGTTGTTAGTGTCATCGACAGTGGTGGAAATGATCTCTTACAAGTGTTGCTTGAAGCATCCACTGGATCCCCTGATGAAAGTACTAAGCAGAAGTCAGAGAAATACGAGTCAGGTCATCTTGTTTGGATCCCATTTGTTGAAGCAATAGTTCCTGATGTTGACATGGACAAAAGAGAGATGCAGATTACTCCCCCAAAGGGACTTTTGGAGTTGAATGTGCGTTCTAATGAAAGGTCTAAGAAGGAAAGACGTTTAATTGTAAGTCATTTGTAGCTCTCGTAATTTGCAATTTCTAAGCTGTTAAAAAAAAAAAAACAAATAGTGATCCCAATAATAAGCTACTAATTTTCTTGTAGATAATAAATTTGTCATGTACAAAACTTTTCTTAGTTCCATATTTTTTAATCTTGTAGCTATTACAAAACTACTTTATCGCGAATGACTCTCTTTGGATCAGATTTGTTGTCGTTCCAAGTTATATCTGGCATACTAAAATTGAAATTTGAGTTTTTAGCAGCTACCATGTAAATGTATACTCCTGATATAGTTTTCTTCTTCTTTTTAGGAATGGAGAGAAAGAAAGAAGTTTCAAAGGCGCCTAATTTCTGCCAAAAAGAAATTGTGTGAATTAGACCAGCAACATATCTTTCATGGGCTTCAATATGGAGAAATGTCCTATAGGACCTTACTCGCAGAGCAGATTGTTTGTGTGAACTTAAATTTGCTTCAGCAGGCACTGCAAGCTGTTGAGAAGCCCATTAATGGGTGAGTTTGAGCATCTTATTCTTATTTTATTTGTTTATAATATAAAAAATTTGGCATTAGTGCATCACTTATCAGCGAGTCACACTTTCTATTATCACTGGAGGTTGGGTGAGACCGTGAGGTACATGAGTACATTTTTCAATGCTGTTTGCTGTGATGCTCTTGGCTAATGCATACTGATGCTTTTTTATGACAAAATTGACTCAGCCATTATCATTATACAGTAAGGAAGAGGCATGTTTCTTTTACATATTAATGTGGGAATTCTGTAGATAGTGCCACAATTGAGGTGTTTTATTCTTTTGTATTACTGTTTACTCACAAATTAGTGAGTATGCATTGTAGTGTGATAATAATTAGTTAATGTTGGTCTCTAATAATTAGCAGATCTCTTTAACAAAATATGGAGAACCAACTAGAGGAATGGCGGATGGTAACTTTAGTGCACTTATACGAATAACGTAGATGCACCAGTATGTAGAAGCTATTTGCTGGATGAAGATTATGGGTCACACCATGAAGTAATGGGAAAGTAATAATTGACCATTTTAAGATAAACACTCATATCAAAGGCAGTAAATTGACAGTAGTACGATTTTAAACTCCAAATATTGTTTTACTTGTGGTTGATGCTTGTTAAAAGTATTTCCAAGCCATTGTATCTCATAGCATTACGACACTTTCAGTTAACCTCCTGAGGGGAACAGAAAAAGATTATGGTAATTGGTACATCCAGTTTAAATTTTTTTTTTTTTTTTTTTTTTTTGTTTTTTTTGTTTTAATCTTTTGTGATGTTTATGGAATTAGTCTTTTCAAAGGGAAATTATTATTATATGATTTTGCAAGCACTGGTGAAAAAATTGTAGTTGTCTGTATCATTCTCAGTATCATTACAATTAAGTTTAGATGCAATATGCTTAAATGATATCCATAAATTAAATGATATGCATGATTTATTATGATCTGTGATGATGTAGTGGCCTATGAAACATTGAAGCATTAGCGCACTTGGAAAATGAATCCAGTTAAATGTTATTTGTAAGAAAGAGAAATGAAACGAATAATAAAAGAGGAAATCACAATGGAGGGATATCGAAAAATCCTAAATTTTTTGCTTATTGATGGTGTGAAATGAGAGTAGATGGATTTATTCATGCCAAATAGCTTAAGTGAGCTTAATTACATGGGAAATAAAATGATATAGCTAAGCATGAATATTATTTAGAAAGAATATTGTTCCAAAACATGGTGATTCAGCAAAATTAACATTTGTTCCAAATTGATGTTTTGGATAGTTAGGTAAGTTGTAAGATTATTGGAAAAATGTTTTGAATTTGATGCATATAAACTTCTTAACTTTCTTTAATTGATCCTTCCAAACAAACATAGATACACATTTTTTTTTCTTAATTGAACCATGTTGGAGGTAAGTAATTGAGCTAGGGATTATATATATAATTTGCTGATAGCATATCCAGTTCATAGTAAGATGTTTAAGTATCTAATAGGAAATTATAGTTAATAATGCCTTTCAGATTGTCTTGTAATTTCATTTTATGCTAATTATCCTTTGCAGTTAGCTGTGCACAGAAATGGTTTCTCTACTAGTCTATACTATTAATTTGTACAGTGTATTGTTCTAGAAGGGTGTTTTAGTTTTTTTCTCATTCTTTTTGACTGTCTTGATATGTGTAGGTGTAACCTTGGGGAGAATATGCCAGATGTTGCCTCAAGGAAATGCGGAAATTCTTTGAAAATACCAGAAAAGTACCTCACAAACATAAGTATAGAGAAACTTGATGCATACTCGGAGCATGGAAAAACAGGAGTCCATCTCATATCGAAAGGCAAAGTTGCTACTGTCTTAGTCTTAAACAATGAAAATCCAGAGAAGCACCTTGAAAATGGTGAAGATCCAACCATTTCCCACCTGAAGAATTTGCTTTCAGACAAGCAAACATTCATACAGGTGCCTTTTTTTTGTGTGTTTACTTTCATGAACTTCTTGGTGATTCAAGTATTTTGTTCGACTCTTTGCTGCATCTACCATATGCCATATGCTATTGTTATGTACTTTTATGTGACATATTAGTGACATTTCTATGTTCTTTATTACTAACCTTCTCCTATCTTATGACAATTCTCCTGTTTCTAATCCACCCTAACTACACTAAGGGGTCGTTTGGTTCACTAAGCTGGAATGGATTGGTATGGATTCTCATACTTCGGTGGTATGGATTATATATCCCACACCAATCTAAAGTTGTTTGGTTTAATCATGGAATAGATTCTCATACTTGAGTAATAGTATGGATTATGAATCCTTAGGGGGGGGGGGGGTGGGTATGAGATTCCAATGGAATGGGGTGGAGTTAGAATCCCCCAGGTATGAGATTCCATACTTAAATAGCCCAACCAAACAAATAAAACCATGGAATGGATTCTAAATCCATTCCAATCCATTCCAAGAAGTTCAACCAAACAGCCCCTAAAATTGTTACTTCCCGCTTCAATGTAAAACTTCTTGCATTTGTGAATTGCAAGTGACATCATCTTAAATCTACATGAATATGCTATAAGTTTCTGGATTCTCCAGGATTTTTCTTTGGTTATATTTTTCTGCATCTTTTAGAGGAAATCAGGGTTCAAGATTCATATTCTTTTGTTTGAGCGAAAAGGAACAATGGAATTAGTGGGGGGATATGTGGCATTCCTTCTCTATAAAAGGGAACCTTTGGAAGAATTATTTTCCACCCTTGGAAGAAAAAAAGGAATAGGTTTTTGCTGAATGATGGACCAATCAAATAAAGTTGATTTTTTTAGGTTTAATATAGTTTAAAGAACACTTGTAAAATTTAATTAAATTAGGTCAAGCCTAAAATACTCCCCTTCCCTTATTTTCCCTTGCTTGGCTAGAGGCCCTAGATAGGCCTTTCTTCTAATTTGGTTGCGAGTTTGTTTGTAAGTAAACGTTTTACATAGATTTCACAACCCCAAATCTTTAGAAATGGAAAATTTAGAACTTTTCAGGTCCATAACTCATATGAAGTCTTTTATATATCTTTTGATGGGCTCTTGTTTAGTGTTTCAAAAGCATATCCTCGGAACAATATAGGAAGATCAACAAGACTCGTCATGGTTCGTCCATTTTAGGTTCGATTTCTCCTTTTTGACACATCATTCAATTATGGTGTTTCCAGTGGAGTTTGCGAAAGTATTTCGCAATCCCTTAGATGGTCATCAAATTCTTAGCTCAAATATTCACCTCCACGATTAGATCATAAAGCTTAAATTGGCTTACCTAGTTGATTTTGTACTTCATTTTGAAATTCTTTGAACTTGTCAAAGGATTCCGACTTTTGCTTCATCAATTAGAGATAGCTGACTTATATCGTAAGAGTAATGAAATAACTAAACGCACCCCTTGCCTTTAAAATTTAAACTCATATTCTCACAAACATATGTATGTATGAGTACCCTAAGGTTATTGACCCTTTCACCATTTCCAATAAAGGGCATTTGGTCATCTTTATCAATAAGCATGACTCACAAACAAAAAAAGATTCATAATTGAATGATGTAAGGATTTCATCCTTTTGTAACTTTTAAATGCGCTTTTAGTTAACAACTCATCCTACAATGCCATAGGTAGGTAGAGTTCAAATAATTTGTTTTTCTTTTCTTACTGTCTATGTTTTAAATTTGTATAGAATTTTCTAAAACATACAAACCATTGTTTAACTTTGCACTAGCATGTTATTGTATGATATAAAACAACTTTTGTCTCTTATTTCAAAACAATAACATTTAGAATCCAAAACAATTACTACAATTACTGAAATAATGTTTTTTCGTAACACTAGGAACATAATAACAATTATTAAGAAACAAAATGAGTCTTGAAGAGTCGCAAATTGTAGCTTACAACCGCAAGTGCAGCAACTCTGCTTCCATTGCCAACTCGAAGCTCTACTTCTCCCTTCGCCAGCTTCCTACTTTGCTGCAGTCCCACAATACTTAACTATGTGAGTACCACAATCGGTATCCAATACCCAAGTATGAGTTGAAATTATGTTAATTTACAACATAGTAACTCTTTGCCTTTCATTACGTTGTTCTTGTAATGGGAACACACCTTTTCGTAGTTGTCCTTATCACAATAAAAGCACTTGCTCATAACTATCTTCATATACTCTCCAATTGGGTCAACAATCTCAATCGAATCAAGAAGACTACTTAAGGAATATCATCGTGAGTAGTATTGCAGCAAAGTAGTGAAGCGAGAAGTGAAGTTTCGAGTTGGCAATGGAGCAAGAGTTGCTTGACTTGTTGTTGGAAGCTTCATTTATGACTCTATCTAGGACTCATTTTGGTTCTTAATAATTGTTATAATGTTCCTAGTATTACGAAAAACATTATTTCAGTACTTGTTTTTGTTTTGGATTCCGAAGGTTATTGTTTTGACATAAGAGACAAAAGTTGTTTTGTTTCATACAATAATATGCTAGTGCAAAGTCTTTGTATGTTCTAGAAAATTCTATACAAATTTACAACATAGACAGTTTGAAAAGAAAAACAAATGATTTGAACTCTACCTACCTATGGCATTGCAGGATGAGTCATTAACCAAAAGCGCATCAAAAAATTACAAAAGGGTGGAATCCTTACATCATTCAATTATGAATCTTTTGATGTTTATGAGTCATACTTATTGGGAAACGTGACCAAATTGCTCAAGCACTCATTCGTACAGATGTTTGTTGGCTTGTGAGTTTAAATGCTCAATTACTTCATTACCCTTACTATTTAAGTCGATGTGGCTATCTCTACTTGATGAAGCAAAAGTAGTCCTTTGAAAAGTTCAAAGAATTCCAAAATTAAGTACAAAATCAACTTGGTAAGACAATTAAAGTATTTCAATCCAATCGTGTTGGTGAATATGCCGAGAATTTGATGATTATCGAAGGGATTGTGGAATCCTTTCACAATTAACTCTATCATAACACCACAGTTGAAAGTTGAAAGGAGAAATCGAATCTTGTTAGATATGGGTCAATCTATGATGAGTCTTGCTGATCTTCCTATATCGTTCCGGGGATATTCCCTTGAAACAGCCGCACACAAACTAAACAGGAGCCCGTCAAAGGCTGTAGTAAGTGAAATAATTTAAAGCTTATCAGGCCCTATCAACAAGTTACAGTAGCTAAATGATTGCTATGATGATAGCATCAGCAAAGATGAGGTCTTCTATGCTTTCTAAGTGAGGTAGGATATATAACGGAGTAAAATGATAAGTTGGGACCATCGTTCTCGGCCTATTAATCTTATGGATTTCCTGATGAGTTAGTGACCTGGGATGAAACCATCACAATGCAATGCTTACTAATAAAGTACGGATTTCTTGCCAAACTTGATAAGAAATTGAGCTTTGAAATTAAATGTTTTTGTTTGCTCCACCTGTTGATGCTTGCATGAAGTATAGCATAGATATGCCCCTAAAGGCCCTATTATTAATGAATAACAATGAACTGGCACCAATGAGTTTCTACTTTCTATCAAAAATATACGGACATAATTTAGATTTTAGAAAAGGTGGGACTTGCATGATTAGAGGTCAAATGCCTCTTTGAGATAGTTTAGTTGTCTAACGCAGAAGTGAACCTCAATGTAAAATCATTGAGAGGATGGAAAATGCCCATTTGAAATTGGTAGAGGAAGTAGTGGGCAAATTAGACAATTGCTGATAGTTTTACTGATTTCATACAGACTTCACTTTGGCCTCTTTAGAGAAGAATGTCAATGAAAGATCCATTTTCTTCATCACACATACTAAGAAAGGCTTGCTATGGCTTCAATGGGTTTTTATATAAAGTTCTCAAGGCACTGCCGGTTCTCCATGTGGCTGCAATTTATCAGCATTCTGTACTGCACGTCTTGATTATAGTGAAAATAACATATAAGCTTATGACTCCTGTAAACAAGTACCTATTATCTATTGAATTTTTTTTAAATACGGTTATTCTTCAAAACTAATTAACCATGTGTCTTGATTATAGTGAAAATAACATATAAGCTTAGGACTCCTGTAAACAAGTACCTAACATCTATTGAATTTATTTAAAAACAGTTATTCCTAAAAACTAATTAATCATATGTGTCAATATTGTTACTTCCCACATAACCTATGCTTTCATATATATATATATATATATATATATATATATATATATATATATATATATATATATATATATATATATATATATATATATATATATATATATATATATATATATATATATATATATTGTTTATGGAGACCCCTTGATGGAAGACGCCTCTCAATGATTGTCAACTTTTTGTTGCAGGCAGAACAGCGTGAGTCTGTATCAATTATCTTCATTTCACCAGTTGTGGAAATTCAACTTCTTGAAAAGCTATTCGAAACTCATGACTACTTTACTTTCAGCCGGGAAAAGGTGGGTAGATGTCAACTTTTGCATTAACGGTTAGTGTTTTTGTGGCTAAATATTTGTTTGCCAAAATAGACAATTTCCTGCAACATTATATATTATTCTTTGCTTTTTTTTTTTTTAATTTATATAATTTATTTGATTTATATATTTTTTGAAAAATTGCCCTTATACGTCAGTTATCTTGCAGAATTGTCAGCTTTACCTGTCATTCTGGTTACTGATTTTATACATTAGTTTATCAAGTATCTTCATTAGGAGTAGCACGTAGCCAAGTATGTAATGCTTATAAAACTTGAGGGGTTGCGTGGCTGGCTTGCACTCGAACTTTATTCTACATTTTTACTTCATGTACCTGTGTCAAATCCCCGCCATACTAACATATATATGCACACTTCGAAGCTTCATTTTGGACCACATACATTGAAAATTTCATATAGTAGTCGAGTCTGACACAGTACCCCTGCCGTATATGATGAGTTCCAAGTCATAGTTTCAGTAGGGAGGGAGGTTTTTAGGGGGGGGGGGGGGGACACCAAGTATTTTAGGACAAAAAATGTCCCCTTTTGTAGGTTTGAATTCAGGACTTGAGACCTACAGTTCTATATTACCGAATTTCCAGTTCTGTCTTCTCCTCATTCTGCTGCTTCTCTTCTCCCCTACCAAAACTTCCTACTTGTCTTCTCATAACTGCCATTTACATGGTTTCCTCATCCAATATTAGTCCAATTTGATAGCCCCAGCCTCCTTGAAAAATATTTGATATTTAATAATTCTACCAATGATGGAGAACAGTGAAGCCTGAAGAGGAGCAAGAATTTAGGTAATGTAATTGCTGACAGTGAAGTGAATTGGGGATGAGGTGGACTTGATGGCGTTCAAGGTGACAATAATGGGGCCTATTTCAATACCTGTGTTTTACTATATTGTAACATCTAAAGTAACAATGTGTAATCGATCTTGTGGTGTGATTTTAGAAGCCTTGTTACATGACAACCTTTCATGCACCACCAAGATGAAATTCCTTACAAAATGGCCTTTGCATGTCGGAATGGTATCAATTCAAATTATTGTGATAGCACAGAACTTCAGTTAGACTTGGGCAGTTTGTTTTTTTCTTTTTTCTTTTTTTTTATTTTTATTTTTTTTTTATTTTTTTTTTCATGATTTTTCTAATTTGTTTCTTATGTTCATAACATGCAAACAGGTGAGATTCTTAGAAGAGGAGAAAATTCTTGTAGTTAGCAGTTCAACAGTAGAACAAAAGAACAAAGTACTGATGAAGTCACCTTGGGAGGTACACCAATCATCAATGGGATTTGGTGGGACAATAAGTGCACTAGCATCCAATAATATTTTGGAAGATCTAATCAAATCAGGGGTAGAGTATGTTGAGGTAAATTATTATGTCCAGCTTCTGTATTCATATGAGCAATATGGTTGTATATGATCGTGTGAACCTTCTGTTTACTCATCATTTTTGTTGTCGTTCCTATAGGTGTGCAGCATCAGCCGAAGCTATTTGTGTGGAAACCCTATTTTTCTGGGCTTTGTACATTCAGAAGAAACAGATATTGGACTTGTGACTTTCGATGATAAGAGAGAGGTTCAGGATAACTTCCACGTGATACTGCCCGTGAAATCTATGCAGAAGTTGGTGAAACAGATGGAGAAACTCCCCTTGAATGCCATTTTGAAGTCCTATTCACATGTTGAGTTGATTAACAAGGAATGGGTAGATGTTATACCATCCACACCCAACTCTTATGAGTTCCATTGTTCACTTCAGAGCTTACTGGATGCGTGTTCACTTGACAGGGTAAGTCTTATGGAGGTTACCAAGTAACTTGCTATATTGCTTTTCAATTTTGTAGATTAGGTTTTGTAAGTTTACAGTAGCTGTAGACTAGTCTTTGTAAAATTTACAGCAGATATATGGTTCCAATTCGATGTATAAATTAACATATACGTATGCTTGATAATCATATATTCTTGTGCAAAAACCTATTCTTAGTCCTTAGACCATGTTTATGTCAAGATTGGCAAGGCATGCCGGCATGCCAATTCTGAGCAGGGAGCTTCTTTAGCCAAATAGCCGTTAACTCCTTCCCAAAAAGAGTAAATATATTTTGATCTAGACCATCAAGGTATATAAACACTTGAAAACTATTGTGAAAATAGTTTGGCAGTTTCACCTAAACTGGTCTATGTAGGTCTAATAATGTAAAGACCATCAATTCATGGAAACATGGAATTATTGATCTTATCGCAGTTAGTAAAGCTAGTATTCAAATATTCATTATGGAGCATGCTTATATTTTTACAAAATTTCATTACAGAGCATGCGGTATATTTTTATATATAAAATTGCAATCGGGTAGTTGCTGGGTTTTGAAAGGGGTTGCGTGTATGGTAACCTTGGAGAACAATGGAATTGGAAGCATGTCAATGAAGGATTGCACCGGTGGTTGTGCTTTTTTGACTACAAGAAACCGAAGAGAACACGTATTATACAACGGAAGGTAAGTTTAACTGACATTAAGAAGCCCTCCTCACAAGAGGAAACCTAATGATCTTTAAGAATATGGTGGAGCGGTGGATGTTACAATAATCTATATACATATGATAAGTCACTCAAGGACCAATGCTAGCTACCAATCAGTTGTACACTTGTTTTTATGAAAATGTCTTGTATGTCCTATTCATCGTATTTTGCGAGCAGAATTCAAATGCCTTGGATGATATGAGCCAATTTTCATGATGGTTGCCATAATTCTTTCAACGGTCTCGAGGACTAGGAGGGTTTCCCATGGCCAGACATTCATCAAGTACCAGTCCCATGGGCCATGGCCAATGTAGATGAGCTTATGTTATCATGCGTGCAATGTAACCAAAATTGCCAATCGTACAGAAAGCTTCCAATTCCAAGATGCAATACATTCAGCTTGTTTTGCTTGCTGCTGGATTTCTGCCAAACTGGATAATCATTGCCTTGCCCTTGAAGACATAGCCATTTACTAAATTCTGCACACATCACACAGCATAACGGGAATTAATACATAGTCTATCTATGCTTAATTAAAGTTTAAAAAAATATTAATTGCTGGTAAAATATAATGAGCGAAGAAAGCCAAGAAAAAAAAAAAAAAAAAAAAAAAGAAAAGAAAAGAAAAGAAGAGATGTTTTCAAAGATGAAAACATGACCACTAGTTTAACCAATAATCACCAAATTGCGGCATACTAGTCGTTTGAGAGGAATGAAGGCACTGATGACAAGCAATGTAGAGTAGACTTTCTGGGTCCAACAAGATACATAATACCAAGAAGGAATCAAACTAAACTTACAATTTGGGAAACTCGGAAATTTGGAAACAGGAAATTCAAACAAACATGACAGGTCACACATAATTCAGGCATAGATTTCAAAAATGACAGGTGAGATGAGTTCAGGTTTAGTATAGTGATATTACAGGTCTTATACTCCTTGAGTACGAGTAAAGTAAAATTGTTGCACTCAAGATGCAAAATTGTATTAAACAAGTATAAACAAAAGTGAGTAATTCCATTGTAAGCGTTCAGGTTCAAATCAATATAAGAAACTGAAAGATAAAATCTCCATTAACAAGCCTGATTTCTTGACCATTTATGCTCTATAAAACTTGGCCTCCTATGTTCAGATAAAATGTGGAGGATCACATAAATCTACGTATTTAAATTTCAACCAAAAATGTCATGGGGGGAAAAAATATGATACACAACTAGGAGAACTTTAGGGGTATATAAGTTGATTAATTTACCAGAGCACGGTGTGCTAACTCAACTGATGGAAACGTCACAAATGCTTGCCCCCTCATTCTTCCTTCCTGAAAGACACAAATTACAGATAATCCTAGCAAATTAATAATAAAATTTCATATTCAGGGAGTTACATCCCATATAAAAGTTGCATGACTCCAAACAGATATGAAACATAATAAAACTAATACCCAAAGCACAACACCACATTGATACTAGGTTCCAGTAATATCAAAGTTGGCCTCCAAATATATCAATATTAAAAACAACCTCTCCAATATAATTACATTCCTATCTTCCCTCACCCTCACCCTAACCCTAACCCTTCTTTCCCTAAAAATCTATCTCATCCTTACACATGCCTGTATGCAAATCAGTAGAGCTTATTGCGTTGCCTATTTGAAGTCAACTGGCTCAGCAAAGCACTAGAATCATATCATAATATCATATTAATGATGTTATATGAACAAAAACTAGAACAAGACAAGAACATCATGATAAGTTCATTTGGATTACTTTGTATATAAAAGTTGCAGTATTGTAGACCCCTTCAATAAAAGATTAATTTCCTTGGATCCTTTGACAACAGTTTCCCTTAGATTTCTCTTAGATTTCTGGACTAGATAATTGCCTATTTGCCTTCATGTTAAAGAAAAATATCATAATCTCAGCTTTAAAAAGGTGGACGTAACAGATTCTATAGGAAATAGTACATTTACCTAAAATAATGGTGTGTTTAAAGATTGATGTCTCTGATAACTTATTTTAACCTTGTGAATATTGATATGCTAAAAAACTAGTGTGACAGAAAGATAAGATTCGATAACAATCTACATCAGTAAGATGCATTTCCGCAGGACCCAGAAAGGGAAGCTAGAAGAAACTTAAAAGAAAATATGAGCAGTAGTGTTGTTGTAAAGTTATCATCCTTTTAAAGCCATAACAATTCAGGGATTGCCAAAATTCATGCCAGCCAAAAAGAAATTCTCAGCCTATTCAGAACTAAGAAACAAAAATTTTAAAATTTGAAGTTAACAGGTTCTATAACTACCTCTTGAAAACTAAAACATATCCTAGAGAAGTAAACTAACAATCATGATCAGACATTCAATATATTCTTTTCAGAATTTGTCAAAATAAACCACCAATACCCAAGAGTTGCATCGGGATTTGGGAAGGAGTGATAAACTGATACAGGATTGAAAAGGCTAGAAAAGTAACAACTGACCTGCATTAATTTCACACTAAGACCAGCTTTAGCAGCATCAACGCTTCCAAACAATGACCCTGCATTAATTTACAGAAATTGAAGGCAGAAGGAATTAGGAAATAGATAATGTAGGAATTCGTAAATTTCAAAATTGATAGAAGTAACTCACTTTTCAAATATATTTGTTCAATCGGCAAGGAAGGCATAATAAAATATGATAAGAGAAATATTCCACCTATTATAAACGTTGTTGTTCTAACTCACCAAAAATTAAATAAAAATCATCCAGAACCACATCTTTCGCCAAGTTCTTTATGTACAGCACTGAGGCAGGATTTCCAGCAGCATAATTCTAGCAATGCAGAAGCAATGACCGGATTTTAGCACAATAAAAATATGTACATTCACAAACCTAAAACATGAATATGAGGAAATTAATATGGCCAACCAATACGCAAATCAAAAGGATGGATGAAAATTCATCTTGTGAAACATTTGTGGGCGATTGCATAATTGTTTAATGACATGCTTACAGAACAGAGAATATTATTTATCAGGTTCAAAGATGTGGTATGCATACTGTGGAACAATGTCAGTCTACAAGATTTAATTAAAATTTTGATAACCCACATCCACTTATCAAAGCATATTTTCTGATTAAGCTCATCAATTAAGCAGTCTCATAGCTAAGAGGAGACCAAGTTTCATACACGTGATTTTATGTACACTAACTTCATGCGAAGTGCAATTGATCAACATATAACGCTATGTATCAAACATCAAAACTAAATCAAGTAGATTGAATTATATAAAATTGTTATGGACTTATAGCAAAATTTTCAGCTGCCCATATGAGAAAATTATCTATAAAGTATTAAACAAAATTTCAAAGACACATAGAACCCATTTTCCCAATCCCTGCAAATTAGTTGTCTTCATTGTAGATGGCTTAACAACACCCGGGGCCACAAAACGATTGAGACTTGGACAAACACACACGCGCGCACGCACACACCCACACACACACCACTTAGACTAACATTAATGATCTATAGTTAACAAAATTTAAGTCACGTGGGATCTTGTTAAATTTCCCTAAACTTATACTTTCATAATATCAAATAATTACTTACTAATAATTAAAGATACTAGTGCTTGAATGTATTGGTAAGCATGAAATGAGGAGTGTTGCAAGTAAAAAGAAACATAGGAAATATTTACTATTGCCATAGTTCATAGTTTCATACACATCTGAGCACCCAAAGTACATACCTTGAACATTGGGAGAGATAGTATCTCCTCAGGGGGTAATTTCTGGCTTTCTATTTGGTCAATGGTTGCATATGGCATATCTGTAGACTCCAGTTTTTCAGACTCTTTGACTGTATTATCATTAAGAACCTCATGCTGGACCTTTTTCGGGACTATTTTGATCTGCATCCACATACACATGAAAACTTGAACAAAATTCAGATAAAGGAATATTTATCATCTTCATGGATATTAAGACAATTGAATGGACCTGTAATACAGAGTTTTTCTTCTTTATCATTGGAATTTCCTTCGGAACCAAAGTGGCGGGTTTAAGTCCAACAGCTTCATGAGATACATCTTTATCTATGCCAGGGCCAACAATAACTTCACGCTTGACCCTTTTTCTTGGAGCTTCTGCATCATTATCAGCCTCCTAAAGGAAAAAAAAAAGAAAGCAATAAAGTATATACTTGCATTCTATAAAAGAGTTGTTTAATGACTTGATAAGTAGATCGTGAAAGTCACCTTTCCACCCCCACCCCCTCCCCCACTATAAAACCAATAATAAATCAAAGCCTTAATCCCATAAGTGGGGTCAGCTACATGAACCAAAAGTGATTATTCCGTATAGTCATCCAAACCAATTAATAAAGAAGAAAATTATTCTTGCAACCATGAACCAAGCAAGAGAATAAACGGGAGATGCTAGTCATGACTAGCCTATCAGAAAGTCTTTTCCATCCATGTAGCATAATATTTCATGACCTTACTTGGCATTCAATATGTAGAATTTTAGACTCGATTTTACATAGCATCGAGCCGTTTAGATGAGACCCGAAGAACATTTTAGACTTCACTTTACATAGATTTAGAGAAAATTTCCACTTGTGGCCTATTGTTAGTGACTTTGGATACAACTTTTTCAAAAATTAATCAATTTTTTACAATTTTAAAAAACAAAAGTATTTAAAAATTAATACCTTTCGGCATTTTTTATGGCAGTAAATCAAGTCATTGAGGGGTTTTTCTACCATTTCACTCCTTAATATGATACACCAAGAACACCATTAATAACTGAAAAATGCAAAAAGATGTCAAATTTTGTTTTATAAGTAAACTGCAATTTATTTTCGAAAAGTTATTATTTCTAAAACTGCTAATACAAAAGGTTATAAGTGACAAATTTTCCTGGACTTTATATCTTTCGAAAGCAGTGTTATCTAGTATGCAGCACGTTCTGGTATGTGGAACATGCTTAGGAAGGCAATTCATTACTACAGGTTGTGTTAAACTAGACCAAAATTGTACTCTGTACCATTGTACCATCAATCATGTACCAAAAACCAGTTTGCACTTTCCAAATGTGGATCACAGAGGAATTAGCAAATTAGGTATCACTATTATATATTTAAATAAAATTTGCCAAGCGTCCTCACTTTAGTAGAATCGGGAATCAATAAAGAACGGATCTTAGTCAATTATTTGATATAATACCTCTGTTCTTTTTTGTTCTACTCAATATTCATGGAGTCAAACTAGAAAAAACTTTGACCACCTATTGCTTGTGATATACAAATAAAAATCATCATGTGGGGTATTGCTAGAATTATTTCAATGTGTTGTATCCAAATATCAAATTTTCATAATTTACACTATTTCACAATTTAAGATATAGTTAACTAAACATATATATTGGAGACCGCGCAAAATGCAAGTGATTATAACAAAAAAGAACGGATGGGGTACTTATAAATCTTTTAGGTAAAGAAAATAATTATTTAAGTGACATTGCGAGAGAAATCAGATGTGTATTTTAATTTCTCATACTAACTAGTTATCTATAGGCCATATTTAACATATTGTGAGCTGAATTTATGAGAATAGATTTACTAGTCACAAAAAGTAGTCTGAATAATTCACTCTAGGTTCTATCATGATCAACCCCTTCTTATTATTTTTTAGCAGTTTAGTATTTGTTCATGAGGGCTAGATACATGATTACTTTGCTCAATAGCACTAAACTTAGTTTCCACCTTAGATTTGCTTGATTCTTTCAAATTAGATTCATATTCATTATTGATATTTAAGTTTATAATAAACACCAAAAACCCAAATATCTTCATCTCAGAATGTTCAAACATGGTCCATGAAATGATCCATCACTTGGCCATCTTGCATTAAAAATGCATAAATCATCTACTACGGATTAATTGCATTTAAAGTGAGCGATGAGGAAAAAATTTCTTTGAATAAACAACTACCAATGGCCCTGATGGGAGGATAACTTGATTATTCATTGGTTAGCATTCATTGGGAAAATTAGTATTTGTTCATACCCATTAGTAGCTAGTTGATTGAATTAGAATTGGTTTAAGAACTGCATCATCTAATTGTTATTTAATGTTAGAAAATCACAATCCTAAGAAATTTTACTGATTACTGGACTCTAATTCGTGTGATATGTGCCCTTGTTTCATTTTTATTACATGTCTAAGTAAATTATCAATATTACATAGCCTGTTAGTCCTTTGAATTTTATGAGCTATGTTAATTCCTAAATCGTTTATTAGTTCTAGATTTGATTTAATTACCAATCTTAATCGGGTTTATATATAGAAAAGTAAAAGTTTGATAGATAGCCCCTACTTAGCTATCTTAAGAGCAATAGCTTAACTATTATACCATTCACTTCAAGCCAAGTTAACCATTTCCCCAGCCAATCCAACTTAATCATCAAAATCATAAAACTCGCCTTAGCTCATGAGCTTATACTTCTATTAATCAATCATTCACAAGAAAAGAAAGCCACTGTCTGTATGTCTCCCTGAAGCTTATGAAACTTTTCTTTTTCAAGAAATTGTCAAATTATGTAACATGGAAAATAGTCAAATACCACCTCTGTTGGCTGAACATATAAGATCAAGAAAACCAACTGCTCCACCTAAGAATCTGCTTTCACGATAATTTCTATACTTGCTCCTAACAAAAAGAATTTTGGGAGACACAGAATTACCTCCTAACCCTTAATCTTTGATCATCAACATAACAAAGAACATAAAAACACTAACATGCACTCACCCCTCCCCTGGAACTTTAGCCCAGAAGACCTTACGATTGATGCAACAATGAATTTCCTAGTACAAAAATGGCATTCTGCAAACCCCAGTTTAAATTCTTAATCATGCAGCGGCTAGCAGCATCTACCAATATGATCAAGGACACTTTATTTAGCAAAATAAACGTAAATAAATCAGATGATTACCTCATCAGAAGTTTCCATTTCTGACTCATCACTAGACAAATTTCCTTGGTGAGGCTTTTCAGTTACTGAAGGCAACGGTGGTGGAGGTGGGGCTGGTGTAGATGGTAAAGGGGGAGTGGGCAGTGCAATACGGAATGGGGCGGGAATGTTCATTTTGTTCATCAAGTGCAACACCTACAAAGGAGTGAGGTAAAAAATGATTATCAACAGTTTAAATATTGAAGAAATAGTCAAATAGGCAGAACACGAGTACCTGAGTATAAAAGGGAGGAACAGCAATAAGAGCATTAAGAATATTGGTCAGTATATTTCCATCTGGAGGAGGATAAGCATACCTATAACAGAACAGTGCAAAATATCAAAACATCAGTGTAAATGAATCACGTACTCTCTAAGACCTAAAAGGGCCAACAGAATAAGGGCACAAAGTTTTTTAACCCGTACTTTCATCACATTAGTCCTCTTCCAAGTTTCAAGCATTACAGCTTTTTCAAACTAATATTCAAAGCCATACCACAGTAGTACCAAAGTAAAGATTTAGTATCAGCATTTGCTTTCACGACAAAAGAAACAAAAGCTTACACAGAGACGACAAAATATTTTAGCCGTCTAGTTTGGAGTATTATTCTAGTTTGGAGTATGGCATTGATATTCTAGGAGTTGTATGTGACATCGTTATTTTATTGTTCAATTACTCCTTTAGCACAACACTTTTACCACCACATTTCCAAACACCTTCCTACCCTTAACCTTAGCCCGATTACAACCTAATAAAAGTCCTTTTTGATTTTCCATTGCATTATTGGTCCGTGAACGGTGGAGGGTTAGATTTTGTGCAAGTCCTGACGAGGGTCATCAAACCGAAGTGAGGCTCGAGCTAAAATGGTTGAGCATCCCTAAGGTGGATTCAAACTTGGGGGAAAGAAGCAGTAAGATTGGTTGGTTAATAAAGGTACTTAAGTCTTGGTTTGTATCATGATCCATTTTTGTTAATTTTGACTTCAAATAAATTGTGAAGGTAATTGAGTTTATACTTGAATTATGATTTATTAGTGATTTATCTTTACATCTTGATTTTGATTGAGGGCGATCAACGACTAAGTGTGGGGGAATTTGATAAGTGCATAATATAACATATATTTAGTCCCTAATATTAGTCTTATAATTGCCTTTTATCTATTATTTTAAGAATTTGTCTACTTTAATAATTTTAGTAGCATATTTATTTTAGCTTTATTTTATTACTAAGTTTGTTATATTATTATACTTAATATGTTTATCATTATTTTGATTAGGAAATGGAGGCAAATTAGTTCCACTAACTCAAAGTTCACGTGGAGTACAAGAATAGAAGGGAAAAAAAAAAAAAAAAAAAAAAAAAAAAAAAAAAAAAAGATAAGAAGAAAAGCCTAACTATTAGGCGTGGAAACCAGAGAACTAAACTAAGTCAAAGTTCATCTTCAATAAGAGCTAACAATTTCATCCAAAAAAGCAAGAAACAAGATAATGAAGATGAATATCTATCCTATTCCAAGGATCTATCCCTTTATACTGAGAAAATCTAGGTCGTTTTTTAGTATAAAAATCCTCAATTATCTCTCCCAAAGACACAAGTTTTACCACAAAAATATATGGGGAGTTCGTGAAGCTTGGTAGAGCACGAATTGGTCCAAGTTTGATCGATTGGGTAGTATTGGAAGACGAAGGGACGAAGTTGACAGCGAAATCGAGCAGCGGCTGTTTGATTCTTGGCTCAGTTCATAAGTTCTCTTTAATTTACTCTTAATCTTTCAATTTTGTGATTATTTGTTTGCTTCTATTTGGTGAATTGTATGAAATTTGGTTTTAACGCTGAGTATAATCGTATTTCAATATTTAAGTTTGATATTTAATTGATTCACATGATTCTTTGTTTTTATATGAACGTTTAATTTATTTATACTTGTGATAGTGCACGATCACTAGTATGAAGTGATTAGACTATGCTAAATTATTACTTGACGCGGCTTTAATTGATGATTTAGAGTGATTGACTCGATATTACTAGTTTGAGCATCTCAATCGTAGTTTTTGTTGAGTTTGTGAGTTGGTCTAATAAATCAAATTTATTGGGGTAGAAAGTATATTAGCAAGATTCTAATTCCTAGTGAGCTATATATCAAATTGACCGCGGAGGTAATTTGATTACCTAAGTATTAATTCGAATATTGGAGGAAACTATAGGAAACGAATTTGGGAACTAAGTTATGTCGTTTAACCTATGACCGAATTGGTATCACATTGGTGGTTTGCTTGTCGTCTATTGTAAATAATAAATTAATATTTTTAATCTTGTTTGGCTTAGTTATTCGTTCGATTTGACTCCCCCCCCCCCCCAATCTCATGTACACAGTGTGAATAATACTCTTTTATGTAAATAGTTTATTTTTCGAGTTAGACTTTACATTTTAAGAGTTAATTAATCTCCTCGTGGGATTGACCCTTAATTACCCTTTTACTAGTTTTTAATATTTTTGAAGGTTTAAGTGAGGTAAATTATTAATTATTTTTATACGGTAAACGACTCATATCACAGTTTACACCACCTCCTATAATGGACAGATTAAGAACGTATAGAAACAAAAAATATAGTAGTACTTTTCTCCTGTTTATACTTATATTTGCTAGCCAAAACCTGAGACACCATATGTAACAAGTCTAACTGCATGAGGGAGAAATATTCCAGAAACCTGGTGCAATCAAATTTCATGTATCCAGAACATTAAAGAGCTATGTGGGCAACTCTCCATATGTTAATCTGTATATTGTGAGGTCTTATAAAGATATAAAACTATCAGTCCACTTTCGATAGCTGTAAACCACTCAAACCACAGAGATACAGATTTATATGAAGAGCAAAAATAATAAAGAAAATATCTTGTCAGGGAAAATAAATCAAATTGTTGAGGAATGAAGACATACAGCATCAAGGGCGGAGGCACATGGGGGCGGGTGGAGGCCCAGCCCCCTTGGCTCAATTTCGCGGCTTAGTAATATTATTGCTGGCCCCTAGATATTTTTAGTATAAAAACTGTTCTTATTGCACATTTAAATGTGTCTAATGTGTGCCACAGTGGTTTGAAGCCCATTGTTGGGATTTTTTTATCCTAGGATCAAACCCCATTAGCGGCAAATACTAATACGTTTTCTTTTTTTTTTTTATTTATCCCCATTATTGGCTTCGTCATTGTTGATTTTTTTCACTACTCAATCGGTAATTTACTTTTTCTTCACTCAATTTTTTAATATTATTTTTAAAATTCTTCTTTATAATGTTAAATGCTAGCATTAGGTTATCCATTGCTAATTTTTTTTTTGGACGATCCATTTAAATTTTTTTCCTTATTCCCCTAAGCTAATTGATATGTCATTTGCTATTTATAAATAAGATAAAATATAATTTAATATGATCATTTTAGATTCTTCTCACTTTATTAATACTTCGTATATAAATTTTTTAAATGTTTACAAAGGCTTAAAATGTATATTGATTGTTAATGAAATATATTATGAAGCGTGTCTTAATAAAACTAGGCATTGCATATATGCAAGAAGAATAGAGGAAGTATTTGTATGTCATCAAAATTGATATATATGTTATTATTTTGAAGTGATATGTAGGAGATCTCATAGAAAATTTTCTAACAAATACATGTTTTAGTAGAATGCATGGAAAAAAGAAAGATTTAATGAATTTTATTTTTTTCATACAATTAAAGTATTAAACTATTTTCACATTAACTTTTTTTTTTTCATTAAAGTGTTAGCCGGCCCCTATAGCTTTAATATCCTGGCTTCGCCCCTGTACAGCATGGATGCTCATGTTGATTTCCATGCAGATATATCAAAGAAAAGCTTTTTTAAAAAAAGCAGCAAAGCAGCACAAAAGAAGGTGATAGAGAATTAATTTATTATTAAAATTTTAAAATAAATTTCATTTATGTTTACCTCTTAAAGCTTGTGATACAAATAACAGTTTTCCCTATTTGTTAATCAATTGTACTGACATGCTTCAACTTATAACTGAATCCAAGTGTTGAAAACGATGTAATTCCAAATTCCAATTATCTGGCATAGGCTTTCCAATTTGTGCATGGGGTTATTCACACCATGTTAGATATCAGGTAATCAATATTTTAAAAAAAAAAAAAAAAAAAATCAACTTTCAACATTACGTCTTTTTATAGACTTATCCTCATCATTATAGAAAGCTCATAAGGTTCTCTGAATTGTTGATGTAGGCGATAGTAGCTTTCCTAATTTTTTTACCCCAAAACGCCAAACACTAATTAATGTATCAGATAAGAAGTAATTTAATGGTGAAAGAGGAGAATACTAAGTAGTTAGAATTATGGAGACAAAACTGAAGAGTGAGAGATTAAACCAATGGCAAAGGCAGCATGAGCTCAAAAAGGGCCAAAACCATGACCTCTTTCACAATTAAACTTGATCAAATAGTTGAGCTTGTAAAAACCACTCATTGATATCCAGCTAGATAACCCACAAAAAAAAAAAAAAAAAAAAAAAAAAAAAAAAAAAAAAAAAATTATGTACTCCTTACATGTTTACATTCCTCGGCAGTAAAAGCCTAACAACAAAAACTTCTACTATGATGAGTCAACTTCTAATGCAAGATTGACCACTCATCTATTCCATAGAAAGTCATAAGATGCATCAGAGAAAAGAACCTTAAAAGGCCTTTAAACCGATTGCTGCAAGATAGTTAGCCACCATGTGCTTTTGAATGTTATAATTCTCCATACTTTTGGGTTTAAGTAACAATAAAATGTTGAAATTTGATGATTTTCAATGATTATAGAAAGAATGACAGTCATAAGTACCTAATGGATCTTACCCTTTTGTCTTCAGAGTTTTGTACAGTAAAGGCTTGAGCACACCCAAATCCCATTCATGTGGGATCCTCTAATATAGAAATTCCATGGGAGGGTACTTTGTTTATCCCTCAAAGGGTTAATAAGTTGCAAGATAAACAGTAGCAGGGCTCTTTCTAAAACTCAAAGTGTAACTCACTGACTATCTTACACAGTTACACCTACCCATAGTCCCATATATATATAATTTGGATAAAGGGAGTATATGTTGAGTGTCTTGTCAGTAACGCCAATATTATACTTTGATACTTTCTCTGATTTATTCCAACATTATTATCTCCATAATTTCTCAAAAAATAACCTCAACTAAAATAGTCTACAGTTACATTATAAATACATTTATACCACAGCCAACAAATTGGATGAGGCCCCTGAAATTCATTCTTGTTACGTAGATATAAGAGCACAAACAATCAATAGATGTAGCAAGAAACAGATGACATACTCTAAATGAGGAGGAAATGGATAATTGATGCCAAGCTTTTCAGCAATTGGCTCAGCGACAAGCTGGCTGGCTGACTTTGAGCCTTCTTGCACATCTCTACTCTGTGTGTTCTCCTGATATAAGGGTTTCAGTGTATTGTTATCAGATTCACCTCCAACCTGCTTATTGTCCTCTGAAGGCTTACTAGACTTCTCCACAGACAAGACTTTACCAAGAAATCGCAACCTAACCCACCATAACAATGAAGCTCCTCATCATCAAAAATTGATAAAAGAGACAATTTACTGGCATGAACTAGAAATAATGAAAACACTGCTAAGTATGAAATCAATACTTAAGCATGAAATCTGAAATGCCTACCCATTAAGTTGGCGTTGTGCATGTGAGGCAGCAATTTCATCCCCGAAGTCCACAAACGCACAGTTTTTTAACCTGCCAAAACGTAGAAAACTTTACAATGATGTCCAAAATCCAAATAACTTAGTTTGCAAAGTGTAATAAAAACTACTAGCAACATGCCAACAGACCATTATACCAATACAAATAGGTTTTTCATTTCTCTAAAATTTACTAGTATAATTTATCCGTCCTTTATCAAAACAATTCAATACAGCAAGGAAAACTTTCAATAAGGTCCCCGATTAGATATAACCCAATTGAATTGCAAATGTTTCCCTCACTTTTAACACATTATTACCATGAACTACATACTAGACTAGTCTCAATTTCAAGTCTAATCTTAAGCTCATCAGAAGAACCACATTGCAATCATATATCAAAAATAACAAATTTATAACGAGATTAAGAAAGAAAAATCACAAATGCCGCACTTCATCAAATCAAGGCAGCCCACCAATCTATACATAAACCCGCCCCGTCTCCTTATTTGTGTAAACGAGCTGATAAGTTCATGTAAACCCACTAAAAAAACTCCCTATCACAACACCAACATTTGAATTTTAACACCAAAAAAAAAGGAATTACCACAACAAAGCAAATTAATTTCAAACGATTCTAAATAACAATACAACAACAACAATAAAGCCTTATTTGGGGTCGGCTAACACGAACCGTCATTTAAAATCGTCCCCGATACGAATCTAATAAAGAATGACAATTAAAAGTAAGAAAAATAACCTTGCAGAAGTACAAGGGCGAGCAGCAAGAGCGCCGTAATGAGAGAAAAGGCGGGAAAGAGTATCAAAGGGAATAGCTTCAGGAAGATGACGAATTAAGAGGGTAGAAGCTGAATTTGATTCATTTGGGATTGTTTGGTTGGGCAATGAAATTGGGGGTTGAGCATAATTTGGTGGGAAATTGGGGTTCATAATTAAAAATTGTGATGAAAAATTAAAGCTCCCTTTTCAAAGTTGAAGGAAAGGAGGGAAAAGAAAGATGGTGGTGGCAGTGGAGGTTGCGGTGGCGGTGGCGGTGGAGGCGATGTTCTGACGGGATGACGGAGGAAGGTGGTGCTGCCGTAATGAATAATACTTGCAGAGTTGCAGCCGTGTGTTTGCTTTCATGGGGGTTACGATTTTGTTCATTCAGTTGTGCTGAATATCAACAATTTTTTTTTCCTTTTCCCTTTTTTTTTTAACTTTTTTTTTTTTTTTTTTGAAAACTATTTTTAACTTATTTACTACGAAGTACAAGCTAAGAAACGCACGAAAATTAATGTGAATGCAATCATTAATAACATAATACTAAACAGACATTAGGAATAACACGTATCACTTCATGCTGTAGTTTTTTCCCTTTAAATATATTTCAAAATAAAAAAAATTAGTAATGAAATATATTCTTAAATCATTCTATATATTTTTTTCGTTATTTATGGAAATAGCTAAAAATAAAAGATTATAATAGACTTAAATAACTAGACTTTATAGTACTAGATTATATTATAATATAATAAAAGGAACTAATTTATCGCATACATTATTTATCGCATTAAACATAGAACGATTGTTTAAATCAACCAACCATAAAAACTTTGATAACTCATTATTATATTTAAAATTGATATATCAAATGTATACATATTTTTCCATCCATATATTTTTGGCATTAATCATACATAAAAGTTACATGAATATGTAACTATCTTTTTTATTTTTTTTATTCATTCATAATATTTTAGATCAAAACTACACTTTTATAAGTAAGCTATAAGCACATATTATTTCATTCAACTAACTAATACTCTAATAGAAAAATTATCTAAATAATGTACTATTAATATATATATTTTAAGTATATGAGTCATATTTTAGTCAAATTTTACATAAGCCTTCTGAATAACTAATCATTTTCCATAGCCTTATATAATTGATTTTTATTTTTCTGTAAAGCCTATATATAGAGTTTTTTTAGTAAGGCCTTTACTAATTTGAGGTGTTTATGATAAATTTAATCCGACTCCTTCTAAAATTAATTTCGCCTATATAATATTAATTGAAAATTCATTCCATAATTTTTGTGTTGGCCATTATTGTAAATTATATATGTAACATGTAATGATGCGTTTTTTAATATACTAGAGTCCACTAATACTTAATATTTTAAATTATCAACAAAATAAATATTTTTTTAAACCGTGCATCGTACGGACACTGTACTAGTTGTGCATGTAAGTAATCGGAAAACTCTTGGCGCATAGGCCCTATATATTTGACATGCAAATAGGATGGCATTTTTGTAAATAATGAGAATATGAGGTGTAAAACATGATGGCAAAGAGTATCTTTTTTTTTTTTTTTTTTTTGAGGAAAAGGTAGTACGAGCATATTATTAAGTTAAATCAATTTCCGCCAAAACAGTAATGCTTTGAGGGAAAGGTCCGGTACAAACTAGTTCATCACACATACCGGTATCCCACCTAGCAATACAATGAACAACCGTATTACATGTTCGTTTTACATGAGAAAAAACACAAGAATTAAAAAATAAGTTGTCATGTCTAACATCTTCATAGATAAGATCATAAGACGTATAGGGCTCAAACCATTAGTCTTGCCATGATGCCTTGGATAGCACTCGTTGCATCACTTTCAACAGCGAGATTACGAAAGCCAAACCTTCTAGCTAATGTGACACCATACCTCATAGCTAGCCCTTTTGCAATTCTTGATAACAGGGGTCGTATAGGGGATTCGACGAGTCCCTATTATCAAAAACCTACCATTCTCATCCCTCATCATAATAATACATAAAAAGTATTATTCAGACAACTTATACTTTAATGGTACCTTATACATGCATAATAGTACACAAAAATATACCACTGTATCATTAAGAGAGAGATAATGTACCACCGAACCCCAGATTACCCTCCTATGTGCAGCCAAATACATGGGCCCTATGCGTCTAGGTGCACTCGTAAGTAATCTATCAAGCTCGATTCTCTGTTTTGTTTTGTTTTTTCAGATGGAAATTTTCTTCTTTTTTTTTGTAATACCCCGTATTTTTATACGTATTTTAATTTAAATCATTATTTTATGAAGCATTTAAATAATTTGAAATGGATTATTTATGGTATTTTATTAATTTAAAAAGATTTATTTTAATTAAAGGTCCATTTTTATTTATTTAATTGCTTTGAAAATATTTTATTTTATTATTTAGAAACTTTGGGGTATATTATTTTATAAAAGGAAATTTAAAGTCAATGGAATTTAAATAAAGTCAAATGACTAGTTTGAATAGGAGAAGGGATCATTAAGGGTAGAAAGGGAATTTAAGGATATGAGGGTTTTGAGAGGGGGTATACATACCCATCTTATGAGCAAGCTAGATCTTGCCCAAGGTGGAGAATACCCAAAGGTAAACTCTCTCTCTCTCTCCTCTTATTTTCTCTCCCTTAATTTTTCCCCCTCCCCTTTTTGCTTTCACCTTGCACGACACCCACACACACACAACCGCATGGGTGGCCGGCTGCCACCACCACCATTGGCTGGCCACCACCAGCACTCGCCAGCAGCAGCCGCCGGTGGGAGGCGGCGACAGTCGTCCTCCCTCCCCTTGTCCGTGTGGTTCAAAAAAAAAATATTTTTGTTTTAATTCTAATCTAGCCTTTATTTAATTATTATTTTGGATTTTGTGATGATTTTATGATGTTTGATTATGATTAGTATGTATACAAATTTTCAGATTTAGTTTTTGAATTAAAAAGCCCCAAATTGAAAATCCTAGGTTTCTAAATTAATGTATATTGGTGGGAATTGATTGTAGTTGGTTGGAATTATTGAAATAGGTGTTTTTAAACATAATTACAGCAATATTACATGTTTTTATAAAGCTGGAATTTTATATAAAGGTTAGATTATGTTTCTTGAAAGGATTTTTAATTACCCATTAATTGGGAATAAAAGTAGGGGTTTTAAATTAATTTTCAGCTTGTTTTAGAGGGTTTATAAGTGATTTAAAGAGTGTATATATCGCTGGAAATTTATATTGAATAGATATTAATGTCTCTTTGTAATTTTGGGTTGTAGGAGATTTCCAAGTGAGTGATTTCGTGTAGTTGTGGCGATTTTGAAATCATATTTGAGGTACCACTAGTATAAAAACATAAATGAGCACCGCAAAATGCGCAACGATTTTTAAAAACTGGTGCCAAAAAAATTAGGCGGGATTGAGTGAAAGAGTAATCGCACCGGTGCAAACCAAACCGGTGCGAAATGATGTTATTAGCACCGGTTCAAACCGGTGTGAATTTAAAAAAAAAAAAAAAAAAAAAAAACCGCCATACAGTTTTCTCTTCTTTCTCTTTCTTTCCCCCTGCTTTTCATTTTTGTTTTTCCCACGCATTTTTCATTTCTCCCTTCTCTTGAATCCACCACCTTCCTCCACCACAGCCGCCACCTGCGCGCACGGGTACCCCCTCAACCACTGCCACCACCTGCACCAAAACCTCTTCCACCACAGTCGCGTCCTCCAACGACCACCGCGAAGTCCTCTTCCCTCTTCAATTCAGCAGCGCATGCAAAGGAGTAGCCCCGACATCCACCACAACCGCCTGCTCCATCGGCCACCTGCGTGCAGCCGCCGTCCTCTGCTCTCTAGCTCTCCTCCCCTTCCACCTCCAATTATGGTGGATATCTTCACCTCTTCCATCTTGGGTTAGTTTTAATTTTGTTGGGCATTTTGAACAATTATTTTCAATTCTAGCTCTACCTATATTTTATTTTGCATTTTGAACAATTATTGGGCACATGAGCAAACTGAAGTTAGCTAGGGTTTCAATATTATTTAACCCCAATTTTGATTGCTACTTAAATTGTCTATATTATATGTTCTTTTTGTGAATTTAGGTGGTTTAATGGGAAATTTTGAATAAATTAGAGGTTAGTAACCTTGTTAGTTAGTTGAATTTTGGTATGTAAAATATAATGTGGTTGAATTAGTCATTAGCAATTGTGTTATAATTAGTGAATAAATTAGTGAAATTACATTAATTACTCTAAATTTTAAATAAATTAGTGATTAGCAATTGTTAATTTGATTAATGATGTGTTATACTTTAGCAATGTATGTAGATATTAATTAATTACTAACTTTTGTTTTTTATTTTGTTTATTATTCTTTTATTTTTATATATTCATATGTGAAGCACAAGTTTAGCTTGAAGACTACATATTTAGCTCAAGTGGGAAGTTAGAAAGTGTCATCCATTGTACTTGATATATTGGTATGAATTGTAAACTTTACTAAGTTATATTTCTTTCTCTTTATCTAGTTAATAAAAGTTTTTTCATGCTATTACGACTTGTGTATTGTTAATGACAAATAAATGCAACTATAGAATGCTTGCATCATCATATGCCTAGATACCCGTTCAAGGCTTTCTCATTAGGAGAAAGTCTTGAATAGTCCCCAGTTGGGACTGTTCTTGAAAGTTTACTCTCACTTAGGTGGTGAATGTGTGTCTTTTTATTTCGATTTTAAGGAACGTCTTGGCTTACCATTTCCTCACCATGTTCTCTGGGTACATATGTGGGTAAGTAATTATCTACATCGTGTACTTGGAGAACTAGGGGGAAATGCTGCCGGATTTTCCTTAAAATTGGAAAGTCGACATACTATACATTCACTAGTAAGATTAGACGTTCAATGATGGGTTAGGTTGGAGTGATAAGGACCCTTGGAAGCATGTATTTTTTTCACTAGATGAATGGTATATGCATGGTGTGTGTTTGAATATGATTTACATAATATATGTAGCAATTATACATTATTCATAATATGTTGCTATGTTTAGAGATAATTTACTAAATGGAGAAGGATCGTGGTTGGATGTATGGTAGACGTGATACATTGGAATTCTTTCATGGGATTCAAGAGTTTTGCGAGAGGGCTTCATCTTATCAGTGCAGAATAGGTGTCGATTGCCTCTATTGTCCTTGTGTTGATTGTAATAATAATGTGAAGGTGGTTAATAGTGTTGAAATCATTAGAGATCATGTAATTTGTCATGGGTTTAGGCTTAAATACCATGTGTGGATTTGGCACGGTGAAGAAGGAGAGTACAGTGGGGATGTTGATGGGAATAATGTACATGATAGAAGCAATGAGATTCGTGTGGACGAGGAATACAGGAATGATGAATATATTATTGATAATGGTGATGAGGATGGATTTGAGGATGATCAGGTGGATGAGGTCGAGGATGAAGGGGTGGATGAGATGATGCATGGTGTTGAAGGTGACGTGTTTGAGTCATTATCGGAGGCTTCTAAAAAGCCTTTGTATCCTGGGAGCAAAAAATACTCCAAACTATCAGCCATGCTAACACTTT